ATAGGATCCCCAAGATCCCTACAGGGTCCCGGCAGGATCCTTGCAACACTCGGCCTGGAGGGTCAGTTCACCCCCACATGAAGAGTAAAGCCCCTTTGGAGAAAAGGAGGCAGCAACGTGCTGCAGAGCAATAATTGTCCCTCTGGGCTGGAGGGCTGGGGGGTGGAAACTGGTGGCGGAAGAGGTCTAAAGACCAGGGAAACAAATCTGATTTATATGTGGGCTGTTGCCTGGACTGAGGAGCTGCGGCTGGGAGGGTGTGAGAGGGAGAAGCTTACTCTGAGCAGCCCTATACGCCGGGTCCACCTTTCACACCGCTTTACATAAATCAGCAGCAGGAAGAGAGACTCAAACCTTACAGGAATTCCATTGCAATGACCCAGAATAAGAGATTGTGACATTTTGCCTTTTTTAATTGGATACATTTTGGATAGTGGCTGATTGAAAAATGCACACATTACATTCTTCTCCCTCTCCTCTTCTCCCCCCCCCCCCCCCTTTTTTTTGACTATTTAGGGCCGATGAACCAACCAGACTGTTTTGTTGTTCATCTGGGGAAATGCTTTTTATTTTGTTAGTGCTGCCCATACACTAGGTGTGTCCACTTCGCAGCACAAATGCCTCAACTGATGACCCCGAGAACAAAGTGCACGGAAAACACTCTTGTTCGGGTACCTGAAATGTCTTTTTCTGTCTGTCACAAGGGCTCCGTGCCTGTTTTCCTGTCTAGGTAGCTCTAGATCTCTCAAGCATGAAACACGCTATTGCAAACTGAGTTAATTTCTGGGCTTATCTGTCTGTCTGTCTTCGTGTCCTTAGGAAACATTTAATATGGAATATATAAACAAAAATCTACTATGTCAATTTGGGTGAATCCTTGCTCGATAACATTTAAAAAATCATCTTTCGATTTCCCAAATGAAGAAGGGGGCAGAAACCAAGGAGAAATACAGTCGTGTCATAATAGCGTCCAGTGCGCCCGCGGTTTTTTGCTAGACAGGTTCTATTATTTTTTGAAAAAGAAAATTAAAAGAAAAAGAAAGAAAATAAGGGAAAAAGAAGAAGAGGAAACAAAAAAAAAAAAAAAAAAGAAGAAGAAAAAGGGAGGTGGGAGCAGTGTGTTCACGTTACTACAAGTTTCTTGGCACTTTTCCAGAATGTAAGCTACACTTTTGCTCTGTGCGACCGGGATGGTAAAAAATATGGATGAAGAGCAGAGTATTTAATAAAGAAGTCCCCTTTCCCCGGGACATCAAAGCGAACGTGTTTCACAGCGGAGCAACTCTCCGCTCTCCCTCTTGCCCGCAGAGAGATCAATGTTTCTTTGATTTCGGTGTCACCTCCACCTTTAATTCTGTTTCATGTAAACAGATCGTTATCGGGGCTTCTTTTTTATTTTTATTTTTTTAAAGAAGAAGACCCCGCGAGTTCTCTGCTTGAATTCCCCCATCACAATAAAACTGTGCGGGGTTTTCTTTTTTAACACAAACTAGGTCGGTGAGTAATTAAGAACAAACTACTTGTGTTCTGACTGAAACAAAACCCACTCATGCCAAGATAAATTTACCCTGCAAAATAGGATCATAAACTTGAAAGACTACATCTGTCTCCAGCTTTCTTACCCTTTGTCCTGTTTGAAGATACGGTAATGCTATTGTCCAGTGGCCATTGTTTAAAGACCATTGTAATCTTAACCTTCCAGATTAAATTCTACCTCCCTTATACGCCAAAAAAAGAAAAAGAAAAATCCAGCCGGCTTTTTGCTGGTAGCATAGCAAGGGGCCAAATTAAATGGATTTTTAAGTAATCTTGTGGCTAGTCGGTATTTTTCCTTTCTACCTTGAATTATCAATTTCCGATGTGTCCTTTGAAAGGGATATTTGTTACATTAAATACCTGACTCATAAATAATGAGGTTTGCTAATTAGTTCCACATGGGAGAATGGAGGAGGTAAATTACCCTGAGAACGTTGCTTATTTTTACAAACATGATAAAGTAGCGGGCATAAAATGCTGCATTCTTGCGATAGCCTCAAACTACAGCAATCAGGTTCATCTGTCAAAAAAAGTCCCTCTGTTTTGCCTGAATCCTTTAAAGTCCGGTAGCCCTGTCCTTTCGGCTGCATCGCATCGGTGTGCAGCATTTTGCCACCAGGTCGGCTACTTATGTTGTCCCCTTTGAAGGGACGAGATTTTCCCTTCCTATCAGTTTAAGCGAGGAAATAGAGCTTACAATTTATCTGTGTTTGGGAAACTAACTGGAAAGGGAATAAAATTGCCCTTTCGCTCCACATCATTCGAGCGTGGTGCTCTTGAGGAATAAAGCGCATTGTTCAGCACAGATTTATTCAAAGTATTAATGAAGTGTGCAGAATCTATTAAAGCAGGTTTATTCGGGGCTAATTGAGCGTGAAAGAGTTAATTGCTAACATTAATGAGGACTGGAAGGACTCAGTCAGCATGTGCCTTGGATATCTCCGCTCAATCCTTATAAAATCATCATTCACATTTTATCACGAAATCAGTGTTGACAAGTTTCTCCAGACCACCGTTGCGAATGCGGATGAATGCGGCGGGTTTTAGTCTCGCAGTAATAATAATAATAAATAATAAATAATAATAAATAATAATAACCAGGGTCCGACAGCACCAGCGATGGCTACAGTGCCCGGCGCAGCCTTTATCCAAAACAACAATAACAACAACAAAATCCCCGAGTCCGGGTCCTGGTGGGACGGTGGCTACGAGGGCCACGGGCGGGAGCGCAGCCCCACGGCGGGCTCGCTGGGCGGGAG